TTCCTTACTTCGGAACACCAATTATTAAATAACACCAACGAAAAACATAAATAAATAAAATAATTTTCCTTAAAAGAATATGACAGTTGACTACTACTACTTACTAATCTTACTAATATAATAAATGCGAAAGTTTAGATGGATGTTTGTTAAAGTTTGCGTCCTAAACTGCTGAAAGGATTTCGATGAAATTTGGCATATAGAGCATAGTCTGGAAGAACACATAGGCTACTTACTTTTATTTTAATTCACACACACATTTTGGACGGAGTCGCAGGAGAAAGCTAGTTTATAATAAAGATTAGTATTATCCGAAAACTTTAACGTGAAATATTAAAAAGGATTTTTCCGCGTACAAAGTTTGTTCAGAAAAAAGACGGGAAATTTCTTTCGCTTGTAATTCTTTAACTTTTTTGTGAAGTAATTTTCGATGTTGTTCGCTGCCGATTAGGAAAGAAATTTCGCCAATATTTCCTATACTTTTCTTTAGTTTTATGTTAACTTTTATACGGAGTTCGAAGATTTTGTGTATTTTCAAGTTCATTTCGATGTTACATCGTTTTTGCGGTTTAAACCCAAAATATAAACATTAGTGCTATTAACTATAGTCTTACTATCTTACTAATATTATAAATGTAAAAGTTTAGATGGATGGATGGATGTTTGTTAGAGTTTGTAGCCTAAACGGCTGAACGGATCTGCATGAAATTTGGAACAGATTTAGAGCATAGTCTGGAAGAACACATAGGCTACTTTTTATCCCGGGAATACTTACGGTTCCCGTGGGATTTATTAATTTAGTTTTTTAATGTTTACTCGATCATTCTGCAACGGTTCAACATATCTTATTGAAATTTGGCACAGATATAAAACAAAGTCTGGAGTACACATGGGATTAGATTCATCGCCGAGAAATGTCCCGTTCCCGAGGGATACGCAGCTTTTTGTTATTTATATAGTTCGTATGTTTTCTAATACCACGCGGACGAAGTCGCGGGAAACAGCTAGTGAAAAACTAAATGTTAGATTTAAACTTTCTCTAATTTTAAATAGATGGCGTTAAAAGCAATATAAAAAAGAAAGACCGAAAAGGAGGTATAAATTCATTTACTTGTAAATCAACAAATAACACACATTTCCTTTATTTCTATATTTCACAAAACAATAAGTAACACTAAATAACAAGAATTAGGCTTTCTTAAACGTCAATATAAAGTTATTATACAGAATTATGTCGTCGTGTATAGAATAATGTGCTGGCACGAGCAGAGGCAGCAATCCCCCTCCAAGTCTCTATGTTTATCTGCTCTATGTACTCAGGTGGAACTCGGAAGTCGTATCTCAAAAACTCTGGGAGTTCCAAAGTGTAGGCGTACGGAACTCCAACGTACTGAAAAATAAAATAACACAATCATACTAATCTAACTAACATTATAAATGCGAAAACATCGATGGATGTTTGTTTGAGTTTGTAGCCGAAACTGCTGAACGGATCTGGAATAAATTTGGCCTAGATGTAGAGGATAGTCTGGAAGAACACATAGGCAATAAACTTTTTTAATTCCACGCGAACGGAGTGACGGGCTAAAGCTAGTTGAAATATAAATTGAATTAAGAAATAATAATTACTGACCAAAGTACGGGTTTATTTAGTGTACATTAGCATATTGTTCGAGGTTTTTTCGCCATTTTACCATACTTTACAGTGCTATTTTATTTGGTGCCCCATTCTGTTTAGCGCCTTAAGTGGTCGCTCAACCATATCCTAACTAAGGAAGCAAGCCCTGTATTTCAAAATAGATACTCACCTGAACATAATCTTGTGCACTTCCAGATACCGGATATAGGAGATAAGCACTGTTTCCTACCAAATAGTGGGGAGCTATTGGTAACTTCACCGTGTCTATGGCTGCACCCATCACAGCACCGACGTAATGTAGTTCTACTGCGTTAGGAGGTAGAGTCAAATCATCAAACCCAAAAAGAATGAAATTACCATAACTATGGATGTTTAAATATACTTGAATACGATCGAGATGTTCGAATACTATATCTCGGATGTATACAGCTTCGATTTCAGAGAAGGGTGCAGGTCCAGGGTAGATATCTGAACAAGGGTTAGAAGATACGCCGATAGTGTTGAAGGAAATGTTGAAGTTCCGATTAGCGTCGACTCCGTAACAAGTACTGATCTCTGGTCTGTATGAACGAGTTCGTCTCCATAGACGTTCCTGAAAGAGATAAAGATTCATTTTAATTCTCAAAATCAAAGACATTCAAGAAATATATAGTACATAGGAAACAACATTTTTCACCGATAACTTCTTTGTACTCGTACGGTAATATCTCAATGTTTTTGACACGCTGAGACGTTTCTCAGTGTTTGAAATGAAGTGTTAACTATCCCTTATCTAACATATATTTTTTAAATCCCTTTGCTTCCAATACAAATTTACAAAATTGCATATTTCTACCAATAGATGGCGTTATTATAAAAAAATATTCGGTATACATACATCAGTGTGTGTGTATACGTAACCGTCAGGATTGACGATTGGCATTATAATCCAGTCAACTGTCTCCAGTAGATCATGCTCGTCGCTCCTCAAGTCCTCTAGCAGTCTATGCATAGCGTATAGGGTGACTGGAGTTGTCACCCATTCGCGAGAGTGCATTGTCGCGTCCATAAAGTATATAGGCTTACTGGAATCCGTGAAATTGGTGGTGGATATCTGGGAAAAAGATGAATATTGAACAATATGACTTGTAGGTTATTTCTTACGAAGGTCCACTACCAACAAGGCTACCAACTGGAGTCCAAGTCAAGGACCCCAGTTGGTAGCAATGTAGTCGGCCTCAAGCGGTCACATAAATATTTCAACTGTATACATTTTGAATTTAATACATTGAAGATGCTGAAGTTTAAACATCTGGCCTGAAGATATAATTGTTAATTTATAGAAAAGACTAGTTGTTGCTCACGACTTACGACAAATTAAAAAAATATATCCTGTCTTACTCACACGTGAAAGAATATTTAAAATCGACCTAGTATTTTTTACGTGAATTAAATGCATACAAAAAACCAAAAATAAAAATCTTTTCTCATAACATAAGTTTAGGATAACAAACCTTTAAATATTTAACATCGCGTCCTTCAAAACTTGGTCCAGCGTTCACAAGAGTCACTAAATTTGGATACTTTGTTGCAAGTCTTTCCATATAATCATTTACCTGTAACATAAAAGGTACTCAGAGTTGCATTGGTTTACGACGTATAATATTTACCACTCTGAATTTCATATCAATCATTATCATCAACGCCCTTATCCCTTATGGAGGGTCGGCACAGTAAGCGCTGCTCTTCCATACATCTCTATCAACTATATCTGAAACCACTCTTTAAGCATATCCTCTTTCACACAATCCATCCATACTTTCTTCGGTGAATTTGATATCACTCACAAGGACAAATAGTATCATCACAAAGTTAGAATAAATTTTACCTCTTCGTAAGTAGGATAATCTTCGAAAGGGACCATTTTTCCGTTTCTCCGTCGTTTCCAATTAGATACCGCTTCATCATGCTCATCTAGTGCTCTAAAATTATGTTTAAATTAAACTCAATGTCACTAACTAAAGACAAGGGTTTTAATAGTCTAAATAATTTATCAAATGTCAGTTACATCCTTTAAGTACCAGGGAACCATAAGTGGAGTAATGTAACATTCGGTGTTCTAATTCAGCTATAAAGTAAACCATACTTAACAACATCTGCTAAATGAACGTAGTGATGTATTCCATTTTCATCCAAATAATCAAGGAGCTTAGATTCATTCTCCTTTGAAACCATCACGACAGCATCACGTAAACCCACAGCTCCATGAGACCAAACGTCTAAATCGAGAATTGCAACAACTTCACGAAGAATAGTTACTTCTGATTGTTCACGTAGTTTTATCCCATGAACTGTAAAACTGGAAGAAAACATATCTCTAGAAGAACATGCGCACCTATGACTAAACTATCGCACAACTGTTTCCTCTCAATTTGATCCTTATGAGCTTATATGGAGGTGACACTACTCTGTTTTTAGTTGTGCAAGTAAACAGTTGAATTCTTTATAATACATATTTTTTTCTTTATAATATAAGGTAACAAACAAGCAAGCGGCCACCTGAATGCACCAAAATGGAAAGCGACCGCTGCCCATAGACATCCGCAATTGCAGATGCGTTGCCTACCCTTAATTGACGGAGGAGGAGACGCACATAAAGAGGACATTTCCCCTTCCTATGCGTCTCCTCCACCGTCAAATCCACTTTTCGTCTTTTCTTAAGAGAAAAGGATGGAAAGGGAAAGGGACTAAAATTAGGCCTCCGGCGCCACACTCATCAGACGAACCGCGGAATTGCTCCACTTCACGCCTGTCTTCTGTGTGGTCATGGTATTACATCTCGCGAGCCGGCGCATTCGTGCGAAGATGTTAAAGCGGGCTCTACCACTGTTATTTTTTTTTTGAATTGACTGCGAAACAATCGACAACAGTTGTGCGATAGTTTGAGGTGTGTATTCCAAAATTATTGCTCGAATGTTTAGTTTGAGCATTATTGTAGGAACTGTGAGCCGTCATTCTTCGGTTTCTTGAGTAAAGTAAACATGTTCTTATTAACTTGTTAAACTTCCTTAATGAGAAATCATTAATACTAGTTACCTTGATAAGGTAATCGTATTATCGATTGAGTTATCTTAACAGGAAATGTAGTAAGGTATACATGCTTATTACTTAATAAAATTTCTTTGGTGGTAAATACATTAGTTTTTTAATAAGTTTGTATTTCAAATCCCGGTTTATTGAATTTTTTTATCCAAATCATTTAATAACAAAAAACATTTAATAAAATTGGAGTGTCTGTTTGTTATGTCAAAAGAAAAAATTCCAATTTCGGGAAAATGATGTATTTACATTTACTTTTTTTTGTCAGTCTGTCCGCAAGCCGCGTTTGTTCCGGGTAATGTCCGAAACGGCTCTGCCAATTACGACCGGACTTTCACTGCAGGGTAGCTGACATAGACGGGCATATTATAATCTAATTTTATCTTAAAATTGCGTGGACGACGTCGCGGGCAACAGCCAGTTCAAAATAACTTGAATAATGTCGTTAATGATATCCATAACATGGATCATGGTCATAACATGGATGATGGATATCACGATGTAAATAACCCATGATACTCACCCTTCGTAGACATCATTTTTACCAGCTGAAGTAAAACTAAATAGTAACAAAATACTTATAACTGATAATGTTACCATCTTGCTCCAACTCTAACAAGTATACTGGACTAAATTCAACATCTCTGTGTTTATCAATAGTGATATAGATTGTACTACTCCATATTTTGCGATAAAATCAAATTATCAGCTTAGAAAATAATCATAAATTGTACGCCATTGTTTGTTTTCTGTTTTTTTGAAGCAAAATAGTACACTAGTAATGTTGAATTAAGATGATTTTATCAAACAATCTTACTAATATTATAAACTAGCTTTCGCCTGCGACTCCGACCGCGTGGTATTAAAAAAGTGAATAGCCTATGTGTTCTTCCAGACTATTCTCTTCATCTATACCATATTTCATCGGAATAAACGAATATAAACTTTCATATTTATAATATTAATATGATATGAAAGTTTAGATAGATACATTGATTTGAGTTCACTACCTTAGCTGCTGAACGGATCTCGATGAAATTTGTCACAAATGTAGAACATAGTCTGGAAGAACACATAGACTACTAATCAGTTTTTTAATTCCGTGTGGTGGAGTCGGGGGCGAAAGTTGGTGTAATTGCAACTCGGTAGGTGTTCAATTACCTAATGTAATATTTTAAAACCGCTTCTTAAACTGAACTACCTAAATCTAATCAAATAAATCTTCCAGTTTAAATATAAATTTTATTACAAGATCACACTACATCAATTTGAAATATTCAAACGCGCTCTGTAATACTGGAGTGAGACTCTAGCAGATGCCGCTATACCCAACCAAGTTTCTTCATTGATCTGGGCAATGAAGCGAGGAGGTACGGAGAATGCGTATCCGTAGCCCGGTAGCTCCAAAGTATAAGAAAATGGGACACCAACATGCTGAAACCATAAAAAGGATAAGCTATTGCTATCTCTGTTTTCCTATAGATAACGAAAGGGACAGAATATTATTGCAGCTGTTAAAGCAATTGAATAAACAATCAACAATCGACACTGCACAAATGTTGTGCGATTGTCGATTGTTTCGCAGCCAATTCAGTTTTTTAGTTGCACAACTAAAAACCTCCATGGAGGTGCACACTTGTTATTGGAATCAAAGCAGGACTTAATAGTTTTTCAATAGTTTAGTCGATATTACGCGCTTACTGAAACTTACTTGTCCGTAATCTTGAGCGCTTCCAGATGACCCGTACAGTACTAGAGCACTGTTACCAACCAAATAGAATCCCGCTTGTGGTAACTTCATCACATCTATCGCAGCTCCCATTATCGCTCCGACATGATGCAAATCCAATGCATTAGGGGGCAGAGACCTATCTCCATATGCGTATAGTACGTAGTTACCATGGCTATGGATGTCTAAATACAATTGTATTCTATCAATATACTCATGAAGAATATCTCTGACGTAGCCAGTTTCACGTTCAGAGAATGGGATATGTCCTGGGTAGACATCAGAGCATGGGTCAGATGATATTCCGATAGTGTTGTGAGACACGTTGAAGTTGCGGTTAGCATCAACACCGTAACATGTTAGGTTGACTGCTGGGTTGAAGGATCTCGTTCGACGCCAGAGTCGACGCTGGAAGAACAATTTGTAATAACTGCTAAATATTTAACTAAAATTGAGATTACTTCAACCTCTATACATTCGGCCAAAACTTTATTACTTCTGTCATACTTGAGGTCACATTTCTCGATAATCTTACTTCTTACAGATACAAACAGATACAGATAGAATACAGAAGTTTGAATGGATGGATAGAATTTTGTTAGAGTATTAGCCTAGACTGCTGAACCGAACTCGATGAAATTTGGCACGGATCTAGAACATAGTCTCGAAGAACATTTAGGAAGAACACATGTACGTATGTACTTGGTTTATTTATAATTCCGCGAGGACGAAGTCGTGGATGAAAGCTAGTTTGATCATAGAACTGTGTTAACCCGTACTTACATCAATATGAGAATATTCATATCCATCAGCATTTACCAATGGCATAATAATCCAATCAATATTATCTAAGAGATCCCGATCTTGGGATCGTAGATCTTCTACCAATCTGTGTATGGAGTACAGAGCTACGGGAGCGGTGACCCACTCGCGAGCGTGCAACATTGCGTTCATAAAATATATCGGCTTTGAAGTATCGGTGAAGTTTGTTGTAGAGATCTAAAATGAATACAAAAATAGCTACACGAAATATTTCACTAATATATGCAGTTATTAGTTTGAAGTTTATTCAATTGTTTTGACACAAATGTTTGCTTTATTCCACGCAATTATGGCATTTCATTTCTTCTTACCTTTAAATATTTGATACTTCGTCCTTCAAAACTTGGTCCAGAATTAACTATGGTGACAATTTCTGGATATTGCGACGCAATACGTTCCAAGTATGCATCAATCTGAAACATTTCTTTAATTATAGTTTCGTTACTTCGGAAGGAGATATTTCAATGTTCAAACACTACAAAAGCGTAAGATGGATGGATGTTTGTCAGACAGTATATTCTGACCGGCTAAAAGGATCTTGATGAAATTTTAGTATACATGTAGAACATAGTCTGGATAAACATATAGATTACTTATTTTTTGTTGTGAGAGGTCTAAGTGGCGTAAATGCTATTTAAAATAATTTATTACTCCATACCTCATGGTAACGTGGATAATCCTCAAACGGAACAGCATTTCGTTTGCTTGCTCTCCAACGAGATACTTCTAAATCTTGTTCATTTAAAAAGCTGAAAAAAAATACAATTTTTATGCTTTCAAATATTAAAATGATTTTTGGATGATAATTCTTGCAAACATACCTTGTTACGTCTTCTATATGGAGATAATGAGAAATTCCATTATCATCTAATTGTTTAAGAAACTCATCTTTGTTTTCTGATGCCACCATGACGATGGCATCACGGACTCCAGGGAAGCCATACTGCCATAAATCAACATCAAGTGATATCACCATTTCTTGTAGAATTTCTTGATCACCACGATCTTTGACTTCAACACCGTGAACTGTGTATCTGTAAAATTAATGTAAGATTTCCCCCTCATTCATATTTGACTAAACTATCGCACAACTGTTTAGTCGCTTTGATTCCTATGAGCTTATATGGAGGTGCACACTAGCAACTAAACAGTTGAAGCTGCGAAACAATCGACAATCGCACAACTGTAAACATAAATTTAGATCCGGTTCCTTTGTAATTTTTTGTCGTATCACGTTTTTCATTTGTTTCATCGATTAGTTACATTGCTTTTACTAGATATCAGCCAGACATCTATTATCAGTCAGATAATACAATATTAAAACTCATTGTGCCGTTATTGATTGTTTATTTGCATTTTTTATAATAAAATAAAACAGCGGTAGAGCCCCCTTTAACATCTTTGCAGGAATGGGCCGGCTCGCCCGGTGGAATACCACGACCACACAGAAGACAGGCGTGAAATGGAAGGAATTCCATGTTTCGTCTGATGAGTGTGGTGCCGGAGGCCTAATTTTAGTCCCTTTTCCTTTCCACCCTTAAGAGGAAAGAATTGAGAGGAAAAAATGGATTTGACGGTGGAGGTGACGCATATGAAGGGGAAATGTCCTCTTTATGCGCGTTTCCTCCTCCGTCAATTAAGGTAACGCATCTGCATTTGCGGACGTTTATGGGCAGCGGTCGCTTTCCATTTCGGTGGATTCAGTGGTGGTGGCCGCTTGTTCGTTTGCCACCTCATAATATAAAAAATATGACAATACTGCTTTGAATAGAAGCTATAAAGCTAAAAGATATATTCTAATTTAATGCAATTTTACTAAAAATTACTATGATTATGTAGAAAACTGACCAAAATTCACAATCTCTATAATTTTTTTGATTTTGAAATAACATTACGCACTTCTTTATGTAAACTTAACTGTGCCTAATATCACGTCTATCAATTCATTCAATATAATTTAGAAGGGGATACAAAGTTTTACTAATTAACACAATGATTTAGTTTAGGAGCGGGCGTACACCTTTGACTAAACTATTTGAAACGTGACTGGTTGTGCGATAGTTTAGTTTCAGGTGTGCGTATGCTCTTAGTATAAAGTATAAGCGACATATAAACAGAAGAAGAAACAGATGACATACTAGAAATGCCAAATATATTGAGTGAATCAATAAAAGTCGGGCTTAAAACGTACCAGGGAAATAAAGAAAAACGTGTAAATATAAAAACCTTACCCGGAATATACATCATTCTTGCTGGCTGCGGACAGAGCGAAAAACGACAAGAAAAAAACATATATAAAATTGTGAACATCCATCATTCGTCAAATAACACGACGGAGTAATATAATTTTTAGGAATGTAATTGATATAAAAATTATCTAATACCAAGCTTATCGTTTGGTAACGCGTTAATCATTCACAGGCTTTTGTAAACTACTGGCTGTTGCTTGCGATTTCGATTAAAAAACAAAAAAGCAGTCTAGTAGTTTTTGAGTTGCAATACATACAAAAATACAAATCTTGTCTCTATATTAGTATACATATAGATAGAATTAAGATGTACTACATGCGTGAATTCATAAGTTTTTAAACATATGCCATGTCTGACCTGGTTAGATAACCAGGAATAAGAGATCATGAAAAAGACTGGTCTAAAATTCTTGCTGTTAACATAGAAAGTTGCAATTTGCAAAAAAAAAAGATAAGTTTGCTAGCTTTTTACAATAAAACAAATTTGTAGAAACCAATAATATTAATTAAATCTTCTAGGTCTGATTAGTTTCGACTTTGATAGTATATCGCGGACACCCGAGCGGAGGCGACGATTCCTTGCCAAGTTTCTTCGACCATCTGTTCGATGTATCGCGGTGGAACCACGTGACCGTAACCATGTCCTGGTAATTCTATTGTGTAGGCGAAAGGTACTCCAACAAGCTAGAAAAAAAATTAAATACAATTTACACTATAATAATATTGTAGACTCTTAAGTTTTGACAAGTTGAAATTATCAGAGCGGCACCTAAACTATTGGACAACTGTTTAGTCTCGCTTCGATTCCTAACACCTTCATGGAGGATAAACTACTCGACAGTTGAAATGGCTACTAAACAATCGACATTCACACAACAATTGTGCGATAGTTTAGTCAAAGATGTCTCGCTCTTAGAAAAATTCAAAAAGATCGGAATCTTAGAACATTACCTATTAAAGTGTTCATAACATTTCAAAAAATCTCGTATGTCATTTTGGCTTGTTATAACTAAATTACCTGTCCATAATCCTGAGCGGTACCAGAAGTTCCGTACATTAGATAAGCACTATTCCCAACAATATAGTACAAAGCTTCAGGTAACTTATGAACATCTATAGCAGCTCCCAGAACTGAACCAACATGGTGTAACGGTACAGCATTCGGTGGTAGAGTGTCATCACCATACGCGAATAACACATAATTCCCTTGGCTGTGGATATCAAGGTAAACTTGCATACGGTCCACATATTCGTGTAGAACATCTCTAACGTATCCCATCTCTACTTCAGAGAAAGGACTCACGCCAGGGTAAATATTGGAGCAAGGATCAGATGACACGCCAATAGTATTAAATGAGACGTTGAAATTACGATTTCCATCAACGCCATAGCAAGTTTCACTTACTGCAGGATTGTAAGAGCGTGTGCGACGCCATAAGCGATCCTAAAAAAAAACAATATTTTGGATGACGTAGTAGTGGAAGAGAAATTGAGAAGCAAAAGGTTAGCGGAAACAAGAAAGTATTAAAATTGAATGGCTACAAAGGTAGAGGAAGTCCAAAGTAAGTATGGATGTATCGTGTGTAAGAGTGTATACTTAAAGGGAGTAAAATCAAATATGACGGCTGATAGAGAGGAGAGGTAGAAAGAGATTAAGGAAGAGTAGCATTAGGGCCAAGGGCAAGCTTTTGGTCGATCCTGGGATCAGAGCAGAAGGTACCGGTGGTTTTTAGTGAGTAGAAATCTCACAGAACCCTGTCTTTTATAAAAGAAAGATAGGGTATCTTTCGAAGATTTATACCCCCCCTCTCCGCCGTAACCAAAAAGGGGCCAAGAGCAGGATTGTATGGTGTAAGAGGAAGTATTTAAAATCTATTATTGCCTGTCGCTTACATCAGTGTGGCTGTATTCATAGCCATCTGGATTAACTAACGGCATAATTATCCAGTCAGTGCTGTCGAGTAAATCTCGTTCATTAGCTCGTACTTCTTCAACCAGTCTATAGATAGAATACATCGCTACAGGTGTGGTGACCCATTCTCGAGCATGTATCATTGCATTCATGAAATATATAGGTTTGCTGGTGTCTGTGAAATTGGTTGTCGATATCTGAAATTTAAACGTTCTTAAAGATGCGAGCATTCTATAATCATTCGCCAATGCATTCATGTAATAATATAAATATTTGTTACTAGCTTTCGCCCGCGAATCTGTCTGCGTGGAATTAAAAAAACCAACCAGTAGCCTATGTGTTCTTCAGGCTTTCCTCTAAGTCTGTGCCAAAATTCATCGAGATCCGTTCAGCCGTGTAGGTTTCAACCTCTAACAAACGTCCATCCATCCATCTAAACTTTCGCATTTATAATATTAGTAAGATAATAAGATTACCTTAAGATACTTAACATTTCTCCCTTCATAACTTAGTCCAGCGTTAACCAATGTGACTATTTCTGGATACTGTTCAGCTACTCTTTCTAGATAAGCATCTATCTGAAAGTAAACATTTATTGTTTAGCGTGAGGAGGACAATATAATTTTAGCAGTATAACTTCATAAGGAAATGAAATAAGAAACTACCTCTGCATATCGAAGATAATCTTGGTATGGGAAACTTCTAGAGTTTCTTCTAGAGCGCCAAAATTCTACATCCTTATCGTGTTTATCGAGGACTCTGAAATTTAAAAAAAAATAGTTCTTTCGTTGTTCATTATTCAACGACAGTTTTAGGCCTATCCAAATTAGGGATGTCTAATGGCCGATTTCCCAGCTCCGTTTAATCTCTCGTTAGTGTGTTTGCGTCGATAACCTTAATTGTATTTCCTTTCTACGTAACTTGAGTTTTACTCTGAAACTCAGGCCAACCTAGCAATGATGGATCACTAGATAATGAAAATATAAATGGAATCTTCAGAAACCCAGCATATTATATTACGGGCGTTTACAACAACTAACAATCAACCACGATGACTTTGTGTAAACCCATTAGCATATATTACACATTTTACACATTCAGGTTTATCGCTGTTGTAAAGAAATGTATAGCCTATGTTACTGATAACGTAGCTTTTTAACGGCGAAAGAAATTTTAAAATCGGCCCAGTAGTTTTCGAGTTATTTCAACACGTACAAAAACCAAAAAAACCTAATCTTTTTATTATATAAGCATAGATTGAAAATAATTCTTACTCTACAACGTTGTCAAAATGAAGGTAATGTACTATTCTATTTCTGTCTAGTAGATCCAGGAATTCCTTGTTATTTTCTTGTGAGACCATAACATAAGCGTCACGTTGTCCCGGAGCACCGCGCTGCCAGAAGTCCAGTCCAAGTTTCAACTCCAAATCATAAAGGACGGAAAGATCAGATCGATCTTGTAGATGTACGCCATGAACAGAGTACCTAAAAATAAACAAATTAATATCGTCAGAAAGTTTGTTCACAGTAGGTTTTATCTGAATCACAAAACAAGAATTGACAATAGAAATAATAAGATTTTTAGGGCCTGTACAAACTATCCAAGGTATTAAATATGTTATGGAAATATCTGATTTTGTTCCCTTCTCTGATAATGACGTGATTTTTAAGCTATCCGAGCCTTTATCAGCCAGTGGTGGGACCAGGCATTTAAACAATAGAATCCCGTATTTAGTTAAAAAACTAAAGAATTAATTATATCACGCCGATAGAAATAGGCCACATATTTTAAATGGACGACCGTCCTTCGACAACGTCTTTTACGCAGAAACACCAATAGGTGAGGTTTTTAATATCTTAAATTGAAGAAGAAAAAAGGTACAAATTATCAAGATTTTACTAAGGAATTAATTTAGTAACCGATTATTCTGTTAATTGCTGTAGTTTAGACAGATTTGCTTTGTTTGTCTAAATTCACGGTTTAATATTCGGTTACCTTAATTAACCAGCCATTTTAGCTGTCGTTATTTATCTTCACGCTATGGGTCGACAGGTGCAGACTGCCGAAAAGCAATTAAGTTTGCCCCGTGTAAGCTTAATAAAGACGTTGGTTAAGACTTATTTTATAAGCAAATACGTTGCATATAATTAGTTAATACTTGAAAGATCGATGTGACGGCCTTTGGAAATTTCCCTGTATTTTGGGGGATAATATTTGAAAATAAAACCGTCTTATTTATGAATAACATTTGTAAATCGGATTAACAAGGATTTGTTGGCACAAAGTACATAGGAAGAGTTAAACGGACTGTACTTCTGTGTGTCATTCTGGTTGTAAGCTACACATTGTTTTCTGAAGACAATATAGTTTAGTTAATATTTGAATATAACTCACCCTGCGTATAAATCATTTCTTCTAGCAAATGCATTAACAAATAAAGGAACAAAGAATATGAATCGCCAAAAACTCATCTTCAAACTAAGATACGAACTCTATTGATCGTCAAAATGTGCCGCCATAATCTTGAAGTTATCACAATGTATTTGAGATTACATTAATCACACATATCTCAATTGTTTTATTATATTTATCATTATTGCTTTATTATAATTTAGATTAATTTATACAACTTATTTTTTTTCTGTAAAAATGTTTGTTGTACATACTTGTTATTCTTTTTGAATACGTTATTTATTGTAATCAACGACGAGATGACGAAGAATTTTTGTTATAAAAATAACCTCAATGGGTATGGAATTATGGTCGATGATTTTAAGTATAACTAAAATAAGTATATCAAAAAGTAATAAGTTTATCAAACCTGAATTTGACTCAATCTTTACATTAGAATACAATCATTTTAAATTGTCAAGCTAAATAATAAAGGTTAGGTATTTTAATGTAGCAATGATACAGAATAAAAACATTGCATATACAAATGTAAAAGGCGCTAAATATGCGGCTGCGCAATTCCAATCAGGTGACGCATCGAACGTAAACATTTTGCGGCGTTGCCGCTCCGTCAAATGTCAACCGACACAGTTTCCAACTATGCTGTGTTCAGTGCACAACTAAGAACAAAATATCCAAAAGTAGAACCATCTAGAATATGTTTTTATTAAATCTCAATAAATAAAAGAATGTTTAAATACAATTATGTCGTGACTAATTGAAGATTTGTATCTTTATTAACTATTTAATAATAATATAACCGTTAAAGTATAAATATTTTTATACTTTATTCAATGATTGTAGTGGGGGAATCAGTTCACAAATGCTACAGTTTACCTGCGTTGTAACTCGGTGTATTGTATAAGTCAGTCAGTGTTTCGTGTGCGACTGAGATAGTTCTAGTAGACAGAGAGGAAAAACACATTCGCGACAGTCGCATTTCGACAGTTCTCTTTATTTACGTTTTTTGTGATTAACTCGTGAGTTGTAAAAATGATACTATCATTTGAAGTAATTGCTACATTCGGTATATCGGCGGTAAGTGTGATTATAACAATTATCAGATTATATTATTATAGGTTAGGAGTTATTATTTTGTTGGTTACTTATATTTTACTGTTACCTTGAATTGATAATACTTTGTGCTGTGGATGTGACAAGAATAATTTGAACATGTTTTTGTACATTTTAAAATATCACTTGCGCACAAGTAAATAGTTTTTAAGACAAAAGTATTTTATGAAATTAAATAATTTGATATTGTTTTGTACCAAATAAACAAACTGTAATACTGTTTGTTACAATTATACCAAAATAACGATGTTTTTTTAAACTTATATTCTTTTACAAGCTGAATATTTTGCTAGTTTTTATAACATTTTATATTACCGAAATACTTGTAGAATATAATAGAATAGAATTAGAATCTTTACGTAGAAATCCTTATTTTCAAAGAGAATGATTTTACACCGATAAACCAGAAAGTGTTAAGATTGAATGTATTGTGTGAAAGAGGATATGCTTAAGAGAGGAGTGGATTCAGATGTGACGGCTGAAAGAGATGTATGGAAGAGCAGCGCATACTGTGTTGACCCTCCGTAAGGGATAAGGGCAAATGGATGATGATGAATGAATTTATACCGTTGTAACAATCAAGGTCTTCACTTTATAGAAAATATCAATAATTTGTCTTATTCTCTAATTCCAGTTGGTGTCGTTCAGTGTGTTCAGCGTTCTACTTCTCGCTGTAGTCAGTAAGAGCGGCTTACTCCAAGTGAAAAGGAACAAACAAGTGCTAACCAAACAATTCCTTAGCGAACATTTGCTACGACCTCAAGATATGCCAACAGCGACTGCCCCAGAAATTACACCGTCATTCGCACGACGATTGTTATTACCGCAAGCTTCGTGAAGAATCTCCAATGAAAATGTCACTTGGTGCTATATGTATAGATTTATAACTAGCAGTTGCTCGCGACTTCGTCTGCCGTCTGCGTGAAATTAAATAATAATAAAATACAAAATGGTGAATTTTGAAATCGGCCCAGTTATTGAGTTATTTCAATATATGCGAAAATACAATTCTTTCTTTATAATATAGGTATAAATAAGATAAATTAATACAAAGCACAAAAATAAGACGTAAAAATGCTTCTGGAATTTTAATGAAAAATGTAATGTTGGCATTTAGAATTGATATTTTAAAAATCGAATCTCGATTTATTTTATTGCATTTTATTATTAAATATTTCTTCACACGTAAAACAGATAAGTCAAAGCTTTTATAATGTATTTTTTGGTTAGATAACTACACTAAGCAGATGATTAATTAACTGTTACCCTTAGGTGATTTATGTAAGGTTAAGGGCATGTCCCACCAAATTGTAAATTGTCTGATTACAATCCAACGTGTAAACTATATGAAAATATCGGATTTGTTACCTTATCTGACAGTGATTATTTTAAGCTATCCGCTCTATCAGCTTGTGGTGGGACAGGCCCTAACTCTCACGTAATGTTTTAACAAATATTCCGAATAGAATGTTTACATAATATACCTTACCTGAATTTATTTTAATAACGTTTTAAATACCTCATGTAAGTGAATAATTTCAATTAATTCGATAATAAAAAAAATTACACGACTATATATTATTTCGAAATGTTAGTAAGTAACAAAAATGTGATATAAATAAAATATTATTTTATAACCGCCATCTTTTGGTAAGTTAAAAAGTCGATACCAAGCCATGGGTAAAGTCTTAAGAAAATGATCTAGGAATGTTAAAAAAATATATTTAACGAGGTAAAGGATCGTCCATTAATTACGAAAGGGGGGGGGGCGTTACAATAAAATCACTAAAAGGGAAGGGGGCTAATATAAAATACTACGTATGTTTATTTTCTGATGATAAACTACTTTTTATTAAAAACTAGCTGTTTGAAAAGATATTTAAATGTACGAGAGGAGATGAATTAAACAGCAGTGACGTTTCGACTAATTTAATAATGGACTACCTACTTTATACAATATTTTTATAAAACTAAATCTTTATTTCTACATACCTGACAGTTCGCGTGCGACTTCATCCGCATGAAATTATGAACATTTTATTTTATTGTTTACATGTGTCAAATTCTCAATTACAAATGTCAAAACACCAATTGCCTTGCTATGGAAATTTTGCTTCCTTGATGTTGGCAGCAACTTATGGTCTCTTTCCCACATTAGGGTTTAATGGCGTGAGAATGTATAGCCTAAAGCGTGACGTAAATGTAGGGCTTTTTATTAAAAAAAGAATTATTCAAAAATATGCTGTAATTGCTGACAGGCAACAAAGAAGTGTTTACGCTTTATTATAATAGTATAGATATAGATAAAGCATAAAGGTACCCCTCTAAAACCTCAATATACCAGAGGAAGGGTGGTAAAACGTTGTTAAAAACATATTACGTCATTAATGGGCAATCCCAAATTAACGTAATTAAAATTTTATATGTTACTTTAATAACTAATTAAATCTGTGTTATAAAATATTTTTCTTATTAATAAATTGATTTAAAAAAAAGTTTCTTTTTATTCTGAAATGGCCATTCGAAAAATTATCAAATCATTCGAACGTCAAGTCATTCGAAAAATTATCGTGTTCATGAAATTCTAAATTATAGATTACTAGCTTTCGCCTGCGATTCCATCTGCGTGGAATTAAAAAAATGAGAACCGTATGTGTTCTAGATTATCCTCTATATCTATGCCAAATTTCATGAAGATCCGTTCACCAGTTTAGGCTACACTCTGACAAACATGCATCTAAACTTTCGCATTTTTAATATTAGTTAGATAAAAATTTACATAAACGTACCCAATTTGTAACCTTAAATTACATAAAAAGGCGAAATATAGTAAGATTATAAAATAATAAATTCACTATATCACAAAAAATTCCTCCCAATTTCTCAACTCAAACAATCTATCTCAAGGCGGGCTCTTAATTTATTTTTCGCTTGGGTTTGTGTTAATTTACTTTTGTCATGGTTCGCAGATTTCGCGTTGTTAGCTTAAAAATGGGCGAGGATTACAGCAGGTGCTATTCCAGGAGAGGAAAATGTCGGCGGTTATTTCACGGGACGGCCCAATTAACTTTACAACAGTACCGGAGACACAAACTAGCGGTTGGAACGCGGCGTGTTATTACAAGGCGTTAAAGAACCGTCAGACCGTTATATTTAAACGTATTACTGGCTTTTCAGCGATTATGTCTGCACGAAATTAAAAAAAAAATAGCAGTTTGTGTTCTTCCAGATGTTATTCATGTGTCAAATTTTATGGAGGTTCAGGAAGTACTTTCTAACAATCATCCATCCATCCATCCAAACTTTTATATTTATGATATTAGTAAGATTAGTCATCTACGTAAATAGGGACGTTATTTTCACGTTATTTTGAATAATCTGCAGACATTTTCCTTCAGCATTATTTCTCATGATTGTTGCATTAACGGTAATTATTAAATAAACTTGGATAGAAACTGGATTTGGAACTTGGAACGCACATAAAAATTTCTAACTTTATTCCTGGATTTAAAAGGATTTTTTGGTGAACTGGCGTTTTTTTAAACGCCCGTTAACATAGTATCCTTACTCTTTAATTTAATACGTTAAAAGAGGTTTTGTTTTACACCTTGTACAGTTAGAATTTTTATTTATGCTGCATTGTTGCTGCCTTGTTTATTTCCATTGTTATTTTGTGATTATTCTTTACATTTAGAGCTAGAACGTTACTTTAAAATTGTAGTTAGTGCAAAAAATGAATGTAAATACCATCTTACTCTATGTATGAAGGTTAAAAAGTAGCTTAATTTGTTATGCTAGTTTTAATAACTTTGTTAGAAATATAATAAAAAAAATGAAATTCTCTTTATATTACTTCTGTCTATGTTCTTTTCTATATCTATACTATTATAATAAAGCGTAAACAAACACTTCTTTGTTGCCTAAGATGTCAGCAATTACCGCATATTTTTGAATAATTCCTTCTTTAATGAAAAGTCTTACACTTACGTCACGCTTTAGGGTATATATTTTTACGCCATTAAACTTAGGGGGTACAATTTTAGATAAAAACCCTAATGTGGGTAAGAGACCAAAAGTTGCTGCCAACATCAAGGAAACAAGATTGCTTAGGTTTGTCATGTCATGTCATTTTGACATTTGCAATTGATAAATGACAGAAGTAAACGACAAAATAAAATTTTCATAATTTCATGCGGATGAAGCCGCACGGGCACAGCTAGTCATAAATAATGACAGAGACATAATATTTTTTTATATCGACACTGGAAACATCGTAAGTAGCCTGTCTTCTAGACATTGTTCTACATTTGTGTCAAAATTCATCGAAATCCGTAAAGTTTTGGAGACATCTAGTAACAAACATCCGTTAGAACTTTAGCATTTATAACATCAAGGGCCTGTCCCACCACAACACCAAAAAGACGTCACTGTCAGATAAGGGAAGAAAATCCGATATTTCCATCACATTTTACACGTTGGATTATTATCAGACAATTAACAATTTTATGGGATAGGTTTTAGTATGAATAATACAAGTCTGAAAATTTAACAAAACAAGAATTAAACAGAGTACCTACTATCAGCTAATAAATGAGGGTACTTAGGCTTAAAGGATTATTTTTTTAAGCTCTTAACCGTAATTAAAATGGAGTAGAGTGGCGGTGAATGTAATCCCTGACAGCACCATTATGTTTTACATTTATTAAATGTCAGAAAAATCTCGACGTTTTTAACGTTACAAAAGTAACACTATTTTCACGACGTTTAGCATTAGAAGGATTAAGGAAAATGGAACTGAATCTTACATGAATAAATATCATACTAATACTAGTACTAATTGCCAATTTCTTATTACTGATTAATTAAACATCATCATCACCAGCTCACTATATGTCCCCACAGGCTCGGGCTCGGAGCCTACCCTAAGTTAGGGTGACTAGGCCATAGAAACCTCGCTGGCCCAGTGCGGGTTCGTTAACTTCACAGATATCTTTGAATTTCTTCGCCGATATGTGCAGGTTTCCTCACGATGTTTTTCTTCACCGTAAGAACGTCGGGTAAATTGTGTACATGTGTAATTTCGATAAATCGAAAATCACATTGGTACATGGCGGGATTCGAACTCAAGACCTGTAGATTACAAGTCAAGTGCTTAAACCACTGACCCACTGACGCTCTTTTACTTTTACTAATCATATTCATATATAATATTATAAATGCGAAGGTTTAGATAATTGTTTCTCGATGAAAATTGCCATAAATGTAGAACACTGTCTGGAAGAACACATAGGCTACTTACTATTCTTTTTATTCCACGCGGACGCGGGAAAAATATAGTTGTATTATAAATGCGAAAGTTTGGATGGATGTTAGTTTGTAGTCTAAACGGCTGAACGAATCTCGATGAAATTTGGATATAGATCAAAGTCGTGGAAGAACACAGACTACTTTCTTTTGTTTTAGTTCCACACGCACGGAGTCGCGGGCGAAATGCAGTAAATTATATACAACAACGAAGCAAGTGACAATTTGAAGAGATGGTAAAACAGACGTGCGTAATTAGATCAAAATAAATAATTATACAATTGGAATGTTGTTACTTACATAAGCAGCGAAACCCTGTGATCCTTTGAGAAGTTTATAACTTTGGCCTCATTAAACACTTTTTTAATACTGGCATGTTGGTCGTCGGCGTGTTGTCGAAAAGGTTAGCTGAATGAAATAAAAAAAAGTAATTAGTCTAAAACAAATGCATAACAAGGAGTTTATTCAACCGACGAAGGCATCAAAGATATTAAAATACAGACAACATAAAAATCATAATCTTTGTTAATCTCTCTGGATTATAAAATTGCTAGTAACAATACCAAATGTTTGCCTTATTTCTAACTTGTAATATTTCCAAAGCTAAAAGCTGAAGGGAACGCTTTATCGACGCCAAACTAATCCATCCTGACGTTCGTAATCTTTATGGATGTGTTTGACTTATAAATGAATCTAAAAAAGTGAGAAGGTAAAACTCTTTTGTGTTAAAACTTAGTGTTACAGATTCAGGATACTTCTATGTAGAGTTTTACAAGTGATTTTTTTTGTTTCCTTTATATTTTCTCCGAGTTTTCTTTTAAAAGACGGTGATATGTTTGTGGCCTAATTTTAGCCCTTTTCCTTTCCACCCTTTTCTTAAGAGGAAAGGGTGGGAAGGAAAAGTGGATTTGACGGTGGAGGAGACGCATAGGAAGGGAAAATGTCCTCTTTATGTGCGTCTCCTCCTCCGTCAATTAAAGGTAGTCAACGCTTCTGCAATTGCGGATGTCTATGGGCAGCGGTCACTTTACATTTCGGTGGATTCAGATGGTCGCTTGCTCGTTTGGCTTATGTTATAAAATAAAAGAAAAGTTGGTGATAACCTTGTAATAATTATGATTTTACATACATTCAGTTGTGTGTTTTATTTCTCCTTTTGTTCCTTAATTATTTGTTTAGACACGTTACTTTACGTGTTACTAAGTTACAACAAAGTTAAAATTCTGAGCCGTAACGTTATAAAAGATGAAGAGGGAATGTTGAGTGTACCAAAGGGACGAAGGAGGTTGCCTATAAATTAAAAATATCACTAATATTATAAATGCGAAAGTTTGGATGGATGGATGTTTGTTAGAGTTTGTAGCCTAAACGGCTGAATGGATCTGGATGAAATTTGGGATACAAGTACAGGATAGTCTGGAAGAACACTTAGGCTATTTGCTTTTGTTTTTTATTCCACGCGGACGGAGTCGCGGGCGAATACTATTAAAAATAAAGAATAAAGTTATTTATGATAACGATACATTACTAGTCGTCTTAATAACTAGGTAAGCGTCTTATATGTTTAAAAGCTTTTTTATCACTCTAAGAGCTAGAAATGAAATAAAAAATTTCTAGTAAGCAAGTCAGAAATAGGAAATGCATCGGTAAGGAGTGAAAATATTCAATAAATTACCTTCAACGTCGAGTTTACTGAAGACGTTTTCTAGCTGATTTCCTCCCGCAGCGGCGGCGGTTGTAAATCCAATCTCTGATGGGAACCGGTTTCCGTTCGATTGCTGGGAAAAAGATAGTTTTATTTTTATCTTTGAAGAAATTTTAAATACAAAATGCTGTATTAACTTACTCGATGAATTAATTTTGTTTAACAGATAAAAGAAAAAACAGCATAAAAATGTTTAGTGTTCAATCTCTACATAAGACGAACTACTCTTTGCTTTTTTTCAGTCAAAGAGTATTTAAGCAAATGTTTATTTTTAAATAACAAATCAATAAAATATCTTTACTAATACAAATATGAAAGATTTTATACTTCTGTTTTAATAAATTCAATCTATTAGCACTATTTTCAAAATTCATTCGCAATTACAAAGCTTAAAAATGACTAACATAGAATATATTAATATTAATATTTAATTCGCGGACAAAGACGAGGGCAACAGCTAGTATTTTATAAACTTACAAGAAACTAGAGAGGCAATTGAGAAGCCACAGGAATAAAAGTACAGTTTTATTAAAACATTTTTAATTAAATTACTTAAGAAAATAATTTTAATATTTCATTCTGAATAATTAATTTAAGAACGTCTGGGGGAAATATGAAAAACAAAAGGAGAACGATTATGCTTTGGAAAGTAATTTAGGTACGGCACTATAATTACTGCGCTCTTTTATGAAAAATTGTTTTGTTCATAAATTTTCGAAAAAACAATGGAGTTTTTATGCCATCTGCGTACAATGGAGAAGGAGTTACTCATTGTTTATAATAACAACAATCATATTTCAAGACTTTCGTACTGATGGGTCAAGAACTTCGTTTATATGTTAGAAGATATCTATAACTAGCTGTACCCGTGCGACTTCATTCACACTTAATTATGAAAATTTTATTTTACTGTTTACATTTTTCAAATTATCAATTGCAAATGTCTAAATGACATGACATGATGACAACCTTGCCTACTTAATGTTGGCAGCAACCTATGGTCTCTTTCCCACATTAGGGATTTTATCCGAAATATTTACCCCCTAAGTTACATGGCGTAGAAACGTATAGTCTAAAGCGTGACGTATGTGTAGGGCTTTTTATTAAAAAAGTATTATTCAAAAATATGCTGTAATTGCTGACATCTTAGGCAACAAAGAAGTGTGTGTTTACGCTTTATAATAATAATATAGATAACCAACTAGGATAGATAAGTTGAAAGAAAAATGAATAATTTGATAATTCAATTGACAGATACAATATTTTTTTTAAAAATAAATTGTAGAAAAATGACATACAGATTAAAAAGAAACGTTAACAAGCGGGCAAAAAATGAAGTTCGTAATAGACAGACCTATGTTTTCTGTCGCAGATACTAGATGGCGCCACAAGATATCGGAATATTTGGTGACTCGCGTCCCTAAAATATTATCTGATTTTTTTCATTCATTTTGAATACATCTTATCTGAAGTGTTTGTATCAAAGTGTATAACAGCGGCTATAGTAAACGGGCTAACTGTTCTTCGTTGATGCGGACAAAACACAAAACAGCCAAAATTATCCCCGGCGGCCCATTCATAACTTTTATCTTAGACTATTTTGACATTGTTCTACCGAAAAAAAGATATTTATGTACCATTTCCCTTATCACAATATTGGGACAGACTTAGCTTTATTTATTTGAATGTTTTGTTAAACAGGAAACAATTCCGAAGAGATAAAATACGTTCGTTACTTATCAATCATTTTCGCATATAATTTATAAGATTTCTATTATAAACTAGCTTTCGCCCACGACTCCGTCCGCGTGGAATAAAAAAAACAAAAGTGAGTGGCCTATGTGTCCTTCCAGACTGTCCTCTACATCTATGTCAAATTTCATCGAGATCCGTGCAACCGTTTAAGCTACAAACTCTAACAAACATCCATCCATCCATCCATCTAAACTTTCGCATTTATAATATTAGTTAGATAGTTAGACTAGCTGTTCTCGTACGGGTTCATCTGCTTGAAATTATAAAAACTTTATTTAATTTTTTACATTTGTCAAATTCTCAATTGCAAATGTCAAAATCCGTTACAATAATAATCTTTCTCTTAATGTTGGCAGCTTCTAGTTTATGGTCCCTCTCCCACATGGAGGTTTTTTTCAATTAATTCACCCTCTAAGTTTAATAGCGTAAAAATGTATATCCTATAGTTTGTCGTAAGTGTAGGACTTTTTATTAAATAAAGAATTATACAAAAGTATACTGTGATTGCTGACATCCTACGCCACGGTGTGTGTTTACACTTTATTACATAGTATAGAGTATATAGAGTATAGATGTAGATAGATATAGAAATATAGATATAGAGTATAGAAAGATAATATATAACATACCTACGTGTCTATACCAAAAGTTTTTGTAATCAAAGTAAAGTGCACGCTAGCTGATGCAATTTGGAGTTTTGCCACAACAAATGGTGGCGAATTTAATCAGTTTTTTTAGTAACACTAACCTTTTTAACAACGGTTTTTTAAAAACAATATAAATGCAAATTAATGGGTTTATCTTACTCCTAGTAATATTATAAATGCGAAAGTTTAGATGGATGGATGTTCATGTTTAGAAATTTGGCAAAGATTAGTCAGACAGATTAGACAGTACTTAGTCTGGAAGAAGACATAGGCTAATCACTTTTGTTTTTTAATTCCACGCGGACGGAGTCGGGGGCGAAAGCTAGTATCATAAATATGATTACGCGCCCATAAATTAATGCTTAAGCAATCAACAATATGTTAATTCGTATTTACACTTCCAAATTGCTCTGTAATTGGTATTATTACGTCATGGAGCAAATGCGCATGACAGTACGGTCAGCACTGCGACCGCTACTCTGTGGCTCAGACTTGATTGCTGACCTTACACTTTCTCGATTGATTGATTTTCCATCGAATAAGTAAGCATTAATAGGCAGTTCCAAATGAAAATACATACATAGAGTGGCTTTTTATCATTCTGTACTTATAACGGAAATAATGGATAGCATTCTTTTATGATGCGATTCTCGGGGAAGGTCCTGTACTTAGGAGTATTTCCAAACCAGTACTTAGTCCTTCAAGAAGCGATCGTACCTCTTTCTCGACACAACGCATATGCAGTCGAATGTTCCAGATATCTGTGAGCGTATCAACTCGGTGACAGCTTTTTTTGCCCCTTTCTCTTAATAAGATCTATGCAATTTTAATTATTAAAGAGCTACATTATGAAAAGATGTACTCGTATTATAAACTAGCTGTTCCCATGCGACTTCATCCGCATGAAATCATAAAAATTTCATTTCATTGTTCACATTTGTCAAATTATCAATTGCAAATGTCAAAATGACATGACATGATGTCAAACCATGGCAACCTTGATTCCTTGATGTTTGCAACAACTTATAGTTTCTTTCCCACATTAGGGCATTTATCCAAGATTCCCCTTGGTGTAACGGCGTGAAAATATATAGCCTAAAGCGTGATGTAAGTGTAGGGCTTTTTATTAATAAAAGAGTTATTCGGAAACATGCTGTGATTGCTGACATCTTAGACAACAAAGAAGTGTGTGTTTACGCTTTATTATAATAGTATACATGTATACCTAGTACGCCTACCTATTAATTGCTTGCAATAAGCCTTTGTGAATTTGGGACATTTAATATTACTCAATTTATAAGCTTGAGATGAAGCTTCGAAGACTATCTGGTCACTGGTGCAAGGCCGGCTTCATCATAGTTCAATCTACGTTTATGAAATTTAAGTCAGGAATTTCCGTTTATATTAAAACCAATAAGCGTTTGCTTCACAATATCAAATAACATCGTCCCGCTCTTATGGACAAGGTCGGCACAGAATGTACTGTGACAATAGATTTATAGATCAGTGATACAGCTCTCTTTAACATCTTTTAATGAACGGGCCGGTGAAATACCACGACCACACAGAAGACAGGCGTGAAGTGGAAGCAAATCTGCGTACAGTCTGATGACTGTGGTGCCGAAGGCCTAATTTTAGTCAATTTACTTTTCCACCCTTTTCTTAAGAGGAAACGATGGGAAGGAAAAGTAAATTTGACGGTGGAGGAAACACATAGGAAAGGGAAATATCTCGTTCTACGTCAATTAAGAGTAGGCAATACGTCTGCAATTGTGGATGTTTTTAGGCAGCGGTCGTTTCGCCATTTCATCGGTTTCAGCTTGCTCGTTTGCCACCTTAATAATATATAAAAAATCTAGTTTACAATTTTCACCACTATAGAGGGCATCTACTCTATTGCGATGACCGTGGTGGTCATATTTTCGATCTTTCTCTACATTTGCGTTCACATTTAACCTAATAACATTCTAGTTTGTGATAAAACAAATACACAAGCAAAGCAATCCCGTTGGTACGAGTTCAAAGAGTTCGTATTAAAACAAATGAAGTTATTTCCCATGCGTAATTAAGCCGGATAGTGCATATTGGTATAGGATTTACTCGGCTCGTTCCCTCGGCTCGGAGTATTACAATTAATTTTATAGCACTTTTGAGTTTCCTTTTCCCTGATTTTGCATGTATTGCTGCATTTGATAGTTTAATTTCTGTTTTACATATTATATTAACACCATCTCCTTACATAAACCTCCCTAAAGTTCAGTATATTATAAGTCGGCATATAAGGAAGCGGCATTCTGAATTTGCAGAAAAGGTAACGCGACCGCTGTCTATAGATATCCGCAACTGCAGATTCGTTACCTACCCTTATTTGATGGAGGAGGAGACGCACTTCCTATGTGTTCCTTCACTGTCAATTCCACTTTCATTTCCCATCATTTTTAGAAGAAAAGAGATCATTTTTACAAGGGAATAGTTTAGGAATCCAGAACGCACACTCATCTGACGAAACTAGGAATTAATACATGCCTTTCTTTTATGTGATCGTGGTATTGCGTGGTAAGCCAACCCATTCATGCAGTTGTTCAATCGGTCTGTTAAAAACCGTCGTGTTTTCGTAATATTGTTGTGCACTTTTTGTAAAGCAATATTCGAAGCGAGTGCCGAGGTTGCACTAAGTTTTGTACTTATGTGCAGAATGCGAAGTTCCTTCTTTGTAACCGAATTTCCGCAAGTATTAGTTGGCTCGCTGCCAACGTGAACGATACAAAGTTTCGACCGTACCTCTGTATTTATCAGATAAACGTATTTGCTACTAATTTCATTAAATAC